AATCTATTTGTGTAGAATATTAATTGAAATCAAAGTCTGTGTGGTAATCTGATTTCTCTATTCAGACAAACAATTTGCCTACAAGGTAGCAAATGAAGTATGCTGGACATCTAAATATTTTCCTGCTTGTACCAATATCTTCTGCTAGTACAAATGATTGGTGGATTTTGCCAGCAAAATCCTGCAAACCCGGTCATTCCCAGTTATCCTTGTTAAGACTAGGGATCATAGTTGTTGTTATTATATAGGCAGTCCTTGACTTAACAACCATTCATTTAGAGACCATTTGAAATTATACCACTTTAAAAAGTGACTTACAACCAGTCCTCATACTTACAACTGTTGCACCATCTCCAAGTCCTGTGATCAAAATTTGGGTGCTTTGGTAAGCAGCATATATTTATGACAGTTGCAGCGTCCCAGACTCAGAAAGCTATCTATAGCTTTTGCATAGATACTAGGTATCCTGGAGTTGCTTATTATGGCATTGTAGTGTGTGTATGCATGTGTATCTGTAGAAATATGTGTGATGATTGTGTTCTTAAAAGGGGAATTTGTAAACTGTTCATTTGGAAGCATTGAAATATGTAAACTTAGAGAAATAGATCTGTACAAATCGGATTTTAAAAACTTATATCAAGTTCTTTAGCTTTAGAGATTTAAAAGCTTTATAAATTGAAAAATAGATAAGGCTATAGAGATAAATCTCAAATGCACCCTATATTTGTTAGAAGTTAAAACAAGAAGATAACAGAGTGTTCTGTCTAGATTGAAAAGTAAGCTTTTTTAAAAAAAACTCAGATTTGTTCAGTCTTAAATTTACAACTAGCAATATATGGAATGAGAGCTAGTTTGATGTAGTGGTTAAAGGCCTCAAACTAGACAGTGTGAGACTGTGAGTTCTAGTCTTGCTTTGGACCTGAAGCCAACTGGGTGATCTTGGGCCAATCACTCTCTCTTAACCCTAGCAAGAAGTAAGGGCAAATCACTTTTGAAAAACTGCCCAAAAAACTTCAGGAACCTATGCAAACAGTTTGTCAGAGTTTGACACAATTATACAGAAGGATAAATAAAACTTAGAATACTACCATAAACAGATAATAAGAACTCTTTCTTACTTATAAAATAAGTAAGAGACAATGAAAACAGCCTTGTGAAGTATGAATAGAGTAGAGTAGAATAGAATAGAATAGAATAGAATAGAATAGAATAGAATAGAATAGAATAGAATAGAATAGAGCCGGAAGGGATCTTGGATGTCTTCTAGTCCAGCCTCCTGCTCAAGCAGGAGAGGCTATACCATCTCAGACAAGTGATTGTCCAGTCTCTTCTTAAAAACCTCCAGTGATGGAGCACCCACGATTTTTGAAGGCAAGTTGTTCCACTGATTAATTGTCCTCACTATTAGGAAGTTTCTCCTTAATTCCAAGTTGCTTCTCTCTTTGGTCAGTTTCAAACCATTGTTTCTTGTCCTGCCGTCTGGTGCTTTGGTGAATAACGTGACTCCCTCTTCTTGGTGGCAGCCCCTCAAATACTGGAATATTGCTATCATTTCTTTTTTTCTTTAGACTAGACAAACCCAAGTCCTGCAACTGGTTTTCATATTTTTAGTCTCCAGGACTTTGATCATTTTGTTGCTCTTCTCTGAACTTTTTCCAAAGTCACAACTAATACTATGCCTGTTTATACATTCTAGCATTATATTAGCTTTTTTGGTTGCTGATGCACACTGCTGTCTCAGCAGTGCTTAGAATTATTTTCTAAGGCCCACAATTCCCGACAATTAGAGACCACGTTTATTTAGTGATATGTTAATAGTCAAGTTGGGAGGTTTTTTTGTAGGCTGCATATGATGATCTATGTTTTTCGTGTGCAAATTATTTCTAAGGCTTCAAGTATCTTAAAATTATACTTCTAGTCTAATACATTAGCTGTACATGCACAGCTAATGTACATGTACAGGGCTATATCAGAAGCATGGCTTATTGAAAACTATAATTCCTACATCAAACAAACCCATAAGCAATAGTTTCTAAACCAAGTGTTAGAGCTACACTAATGCTAAGACCAAACCAAACAAATCAAATTAAATCTTAGTATAATATTTGTATTCATTTATTCAAACCAGGGAAAATAGATTTTTTTAGGTTTCAGATTGCCACATACACATTAAGTAATCAATATTAATAACATTGCCTTTTAAAATATGTAAGGTAATAAATGTTTCATGGTAGTGCAAATGGCCTGGATATAGCAGGCTATTTCAGTTAGGGCAGTACATTAGAAGAAACAGATGCACTATGCTTTCATTCCACATTATCTGAGGCATTGATGGAGAAACAGAAATATGTTGATTTATTGAATTAAGTTGCTGATGCTTTGTAAGTGAGGTTGGATATTAAATGCCTTTGTAAATTTGCATATGGTTTTTATATTTAGAATTTGGTGAGGACTCAGAATTGCATCCAAATACAGCACACTGGTTAGAGTTATTTTTTGTCAGGAAAAGAGTGTATCCTCCTCTCTTGAAAAATTAGCTCTCTGTGGCCATGTTCACATAAGTTCTAAGGAAGAAGTCCCAGTTAGTAAGCACACACGGAAGTTTCGTGTTGTTTATTTTTTTATTTACCATATTTGTATAGCTGCCCACCTCATATGAAAATGGCTCTGGACCATGTACAGCATAATTAAAAAAATTCAATTTATTTAGAAATAAATATAAAAAAGGCACACAAAATAGGAGAGGATTATATTAATCACAGTGATCATAGCTATTGCAAAATCTCACTGGTCCTCTGAGACCCCCTGTCCTGATGACATAGCCATGTGTTGAGGGATCTGTGGAGTGTTGCGAGGGATTGGGCCAATCTTCCTTGGGAGGTGGGGGTCCTCAAGGTGAGTGTCATGGCAGAGAAGGCCCACTTCCTGGGACACGCCAGATGTAATTCCCTGGCAGACAGGATCCGCAGCATACTTTTTCTGGCAGACCCAATGGAGCAGGCAGATGTAATTGAGTAAAGGTAGTCCCTCAGATAACCCAGTCCCATGCCATGAAGAGCTTTAAAGATCAAAAGCAGCACCTTGAATTGAGTCCAGAAAGAAACTGGTAACCAGTGCCGCTCACTAAGCAGAGAGATAACATGTGCCACTTTAGAGGCCCACATAACTGCCCATGCCACTGCATTTTGTACCAACTGAAGCTTCCAGATATTCTTCAAGGGCAACCCCACTTACAGCACATTATTGTTTGTTTCTTTCTTATCCTTCCATCCCTTCTCCATCAATCCATCCAATTTCTACATAGTGTATCTCATCTAAAAGATTCTTGCTATAAAGACATACAGTTATGTATATACACACAAAAAAGGTATGTTAAAAAATGTTAAAAAAAGGTAAAAGGGCAGACGGAATGCCCTCAAGTGACCAACCACCATCAGGATTGCGTATCGCTTTTAGATTCCCATGAGTCTAAAATGTCTTGATGCTCTTCTGGAAAGCCAGAAGAGTGGAGGCCTGCCTTATCTCTGGGGATAAAATATTTTATAAGGCAGCTGCAATGGCAAAGGAGGCTGTCTTCCTGGATCTGACCATTCAAAATTTTTAACCAATGGATTCCATAACATACTCTCCCTACCTGAGTGCTTGGAATGGGTCAGTACCATTGGGATGAGAATCACAGCATTACAGAAATTCAGATGGGAGGCAGCAGCAAGGGAATGAGTGCCAGTTAGCAGAGTCCCCTGATGTAGGAACAGGTAGGACTGATGCCCGACACAAACGTATGTGAAGGCCATATTTAAATTTGAACAGTCAGATTTGAAAAAATTGTGTACAATAAAATATTCAAAACGTAAGAAGCAGTATTTAATTTTTTTAAAAGGCAAGAGATGTTAAGAATTAATTAAAAGGTGTGGGGGATCTGAATATATCTTGATTTGTTATATTAGAACATCCAAATGACTTGAGACTGAAAGTTGTGATAAACTGGGAAATGGCGCTACGAAACTGGGAAATGGCGCTATGGTATGTTCCTCAGAGACTTTATAGGGAGGCTCACTCCCTTAGGGGAACTTTCTATTACGTGTACTGTAGTCACCATCTAAAATTTGAAAGTATAAGCTGCCACAGACTAGCCTCTGCAATGAGAATGAAGCCAAAACGTTCATTCCTTTTTAAACAGTGTATGGTACATAGCACATAACATGAAAATAAAGAAAACAAAACAAGAATTATGTATTTTTGCATGATTTATAGTTAGCTGGTTTTATTTACAATATTGGGCACTGGCTTATTACTGTATTGAAACTGTAAATCCCTGAGATGTTGGTTGTTGTATTACCGGTACTTGTTTGCTATGTTGTCTATCACAGAGTTAGCAGAGTGTAGTGAATTTAGTAATATCTTAGTGTTATTGCCTGACTTTACAAGAAAAATTGTATTTGAAGTACAGGTAATCCTTGACTTACGACTGCTTATTTAATAACCACCTGTAGTTACAGCAACCTCAGAGAGATTGATTATGGCTTGTAAAGCATTTCCAGGCATCATAAGGTTCTGCCCACTTCCTCCACCCCAGTGATCACATAATTGCATTTCAGGCTCTTGGAATCAGGCTCACATTTTTACTTAGTTGCAACACCCCGTTATCCTATTACTATGATTTCTTTTTTTTTTAATGCTGGTTTCCCTCTTTTTGTCGATTTCCAGCAAAAAATGCCCATTCAGGAGAATCGATTCGGACGTATGACAATATGATTTGCTTAACAACTACTATAAAAATGGTTGTAAGTTCAGATCCAATCATGTAGGTGCTTCAGCTTATGACTGTCATGACTTATGACCGAAATTCTGGTCCCATTTGTACCTTGTCTTACAAAGAAGCCTTTAAATGAGTAAGTTTGGATGGGTGGTTAGCTGTAAAGATGACTGTAACATTGAAAACAGACAAATCAGTGGAATATTTGTCAGTTTGAAAATAATTCTTTCTTTCTTTCTTCCAGTTTGTCCAAGTATAGATATCCGGAATAACATGACCAATTTCAGCATGCTTGAGAATTGTACTGTGATTGAGGGACATTTGCAGATCTTGCTTTTGTTCAGAACTAAGGCTGAGGATTTTCGAGATCTCAGCTTTCCTAGGCTGACAATGGTAACCGAATACATCTTGCTATTCCGGGTCTACGGTGTGGAGAGCTTCAGGAAGCTTTTCCCCAATCTTACTGTGATCCGTGGGACTCATCTCTTTTTCAACTATGCTTTGGTCCTCTTTGAGATGGTTCACTTGAAAGAGATTGGCCTTTACAGCCTGATGAACATTACCCGAGGGTCCGTACGGATTGAGAAGAATCCCGAACTGTGCTTTTTGTCAACCATTGACTGGTCTCGGATTCTGGACTCCGTGGAAGATAATTATATTGTTGATAACAAAGACAACAACGAGTGTGGAGATGTATGCCCAGGAATAATGCAAGGGAAAAGCACCTGTCCTCAAACTGTGGTCAATGGTGATTTCACTGAGCGTTGTTGGAGTCACGCCCATTGCCAGAGAGGTAAGTTGATGAATAACAAAATTCAGACTATTGCTGTACATCATTTCTTTTGTTTTTACAAAACAACCTGTTTTGTAAAATGTTTTCTTAGTGGGCTCCCAATCCCAGCTGTCTTTGCCACAATTCTAATCTCTTATTACCAGATATTGCTGATTTACAGTTCCTCTTAGCCTTCATCATTGGCCATGCTAGCTGGAGGCTGCTGCAAGTTATAGTTCCAACAATTTTGGGAATGCTATAAGTTGTGTACTAATGATTATGCTAAATCTCTGAACCCTTTCCATCCTACTGCAAATGATGTTCTTCATCTGACTTTGAAGAAGAAATAATTGTATCCTGCGTAGGTAATACAGGATAAATATTCAGATTCTGTAGTTTTCGATCTTTAGCTGGAAGGATCATCTAACATGGTATGTGGTATGCTTAGAAAATGTTGCTTTTTCAGGACACATAGTTGCATCTGATGATATAGACTGGACGGTTTGTTTCCGTACAATGTACAAGCATTCTGTTTCTAATACCACAAAGACCCTGTGTATTGTTCACCAAATTCTATTCAAATCCCCTTTGTTTAAGTTAGTGGACAAAATATCAGAGTTCTGTTGCCTGCTTTGATAATGAGTTTTGCAAAGGAAATTTTTTTTTCCCAAACAAATTTGTATTTTTCATTTTTATTACCATGCCACAGGGTCCTTTCCCCAGTTTTAGCCCTGCATATATCCACTGGAAAAAACAGTATCTATTCTGAAAGAATGAACATTCAGCCTTTTTTGCCCACCTTATGTTTTTGAGGTATTATCCTATGTATCTTTGTTTCAATTTCTCTAGTGCCAGGGTCTCCAAACTTGGCAACTTTAAGAGGAATTCTGGGAGTTGAAGTCCACAAGTCTTAAAGTTGCCAAGTTTGGAGACCCCTGCACTAGTGTAAAGACAGCCATATGCTGAATTTGTGGAACAGGAAGAGGAAATGATCTACAAAAAACCCTGGAAGAATAGAGTGATTGAGTGAATTGTTTCTACTTGGAAACCACTTCTGGACTTTGTGCTTGAAGTGGAAAAAAATGATACTATGATTTTGGATTTTACTGCTTAGATGGATTTGTTGATATAGAAATGGCTAGTTCATACTACTATAGAAATGTAAAAAATTGATGTTCGATGTTAATGCCTTATTTTACTGCAACAGAGGGAGTCAGAAGTCAACGCCTTTTTTTTCTTCCCCCTTTCCACATTTCTCTTTTTCCCCTTCCCCTACCTTTGTTCTCTGTTATTTGCTTTTGTATCTTCGTATTATATGCTATAAGTAAATAACAATCATAAATTTAAGAGAATATTCACTCTATTCAGGGCATTAATCTTTGAAGCCTAAGTCTGTTGAGGACGCTTTTGCCTTCTAGCACAAAAAGAGTTTCTAGCCCACATGATCTTAAAAATAAGCTTTCTTTGGTGAGTTTATAACTCTGGAAAGTCCTTCTTTGGTGGGTTCATAACTTTGGAAAAATTTCTGCTTTTTCTACTGACTTGTTTTTTTAGAAAGTGACAAAGTTCAGAGGTGTGTATATGTGAGAAACAGTGCTTTGTATTGTTTACTTAGGTAGAAATATTACTTAGCAACTGTTTCCAATGACTTCTTGTTCTTTTTCTAAATGTCCTGGGAATTTCTGTAATCATAGGCCAAGTTTTATTGTATATACTACTTCCTTCTCCCATCCAGCCCCGTCTACTCACAGTATGAGAAACCAAACCTCATGATAGCACTAAATATTTGTGATATTTATTAATCCTTTTGAGGCATATGCAAATGTATCCTGTTGCTGGTATCAGAGGAGGAAAAAGCATGCTTACTTTCACCATGAAAGTCAGATGAAGTATTTTCTAAGAGTTCTCAAGCAAACACTGGTTTGATGATGGAGAAGCCTCAATTGCTTTTTCCAGATCAGTACTTCTGTATTCACCTCTGTGTATAAAGAAATGGGAAGTAGCTCATTTCTCTGTGTACTTTATGTTTCTGAATTAGGGTATATTTGGATATATCAAAGAAGGATGCCTTTCTCACACATGTCATATACCACTAAAGATATATTCCAGGAGATAATGATGATGATGATGATAAAGTTGGAAAGGACCTTGGAAGTCATCTAGTCCAACCCCCTGTTCAGGCAGGAAACCCTATACCATTTTGGACAAATGGCTGTCCAGTCTCTTCTTAAAAACTTCCAGTGTTGGAGCATTCACCGCTTCTGGAGGCAAGTTGTTCCACTGGTTAATGGTTCTAACTGTCAGGAAGTTTCTCCTTAGTTCTAGGTTGCTTCTCTCTTTGGTTAGTTTCCACCCATTGCTTCTTGTCCTGCCTTTAGTTTAGGCGCTTTGGAAAGTAGCTTGATAATCAAGCCTTTAGTTGAAACCACCACTTTTCACTGATATGGCTGATATATATACCTGTCCTCCTATCATGGAAAAGAGCAAAAATGTTAAATTGATTCATTTATGTATGTACCAATAAAACAGAATATATGTAGCTCAAGGTTGAACTATATCCTTGGTGCTCTCTGAGCTTGGTTGTTTGCTTGCAGATGTTTCATTACCACACTAGGTAACACCTTCAATGCTAGCTCTCAGTGTGGTCTTTGGAAAGGATGCTTGTGCCATCTGGCAGGATAACAAGGCTGAATAAAAGGATCAAAACAGAGGATTGTCAAGCCGATATAGACAGAATGTAATCATCACAGGCTGACTTGACGCTTTTAATTTATTTTCTATAGTTTTTTGTAGGTGGGAATAGATTCAATTTTTGACCGCAAAATTGAGGGTGAAGTATAAGGTATACAATTATTAGCCAGTACTTGAACATTGACTATTTGATGTTTGGCAATGAAAAGCATACTCTATGGCCTGTTTGGTAATAAAAAGCTCACTCTTAACTGGAAACACTGCATTTGCAAAGCATAATTCTGCCTGTAGCGTCCTAATAACCAAAATACTGAGAACAGCCTACTCAAACACAACTTCATTTCAACTTTGAACAGCTGGTATTTGGAAGTATTCTGACAGACAACAACAAAGGAGTCTGATACTTAAATCCTAAGGTGGGAAACACTTTTAGGGGGCCTTTCTGTAGTAATTTATAGAAAACAATAGTTTTACTTCTACTCCAAAGGAGGAGGAAGATCTTAAAATGCAATCTGTATATATGTGCATGTATGTGTGCATGTATGTACCTTATGCTTGTATATATGTAGTGTGAGTGTTTAAATACGTGTATACACACATTCACAATACATACATACATACATATGTATACATACATACAACACAGAGAACGAAAAGCTGATCAGTGTTTTGCTCCCGTTCTTTAGGAATACAGGTAGTTTTTAAGATAAGCGGTTTACTCTTTCATATACAGCATATATGGTAAAATGTTCCTTTATATTCTATAATATTTTTTATAAAACCAACTATTTCTAAAGCTTCACATGAAACACTAACATCCATAATGCTAATTCCTCCATTGCTTTCAGTCTTATTTATCATAACAAAATTACTGTGAATGAATTCAATTAATGCCAAGCCAAGATTTGGGATTACAGTACATGTACCAGCAAAAAGGAATTCAAGCACATGCTTCCACATTTCCCCACATTCTAGCTTCCAAAACTTGCAAAACTATGTATTGCTTGTAGAATACCTGGCCCACAAGCAAGAATAAAATTCACCCAAGGCTGTATTCTGACATTCAAGGCTGTTTTCTATTATGCAAAGTCAAAATCTGAAATTTACTTTTAGAGTAATTTTCAAACTGCAGCTTGTAGGATTGTTATCATAAACAAATCAGAAATGCTGTATTGAGTACAACAGTCTTCCCAAAGATGCCATTCCTCAAATAAAGACTATGCATCTTTGACATAGGATAGAATTGATTAGTAAGGTGATGGATCCTTGATGCTCTCTGAGTTTGGTTGTTTTCTTGCGGACATTTCATTACTCACATTAGGTGACATGATGTAACCTGAACTGCACAATGAAACATCTGCAAGAAAACAAACTTAGAGAGCACAAAGATCCCTCATTTCAATCCTGAACTATAAATATTCTCCTCTCTATCGATTAGTTGGAAATGGTAGTTGCTTTTCAGCAGAAATGGGAATTCTATTGAGATTACACAACTTTAACATACTTTATTGGGACCATCCTGAAAGGCAGCTTCAGGCTATCAGAAAGAATTATGGTTGCCTGTTTGTTAATGACAGTCTTTCTTGAATCATGTTCTCTTCATTCTGAAACTAATTATTAGCTGGTGTGCCAGTCTATTTTAAAACTCAGTTCTAAGCATTGCTTTTAATATTTTTTTAAATTGACATATTTTTAATCTGCAGACTCCCAGCAAGCTAGCCTAATGTAGTATACAATACAATAATTAATAAAGTTAATAAAACATATAATAAAAGCAATGCAATGAATTAACAATAAATCACATTTGTACCAAAAGAGTCATAAGAAGAGTCATATTGGGTGGAAGAGTGGGGGGGGTAAGGGTAATATAGATAATGGTTGCTTATAGAAGGGTGCGGCCTGGGCAGTTCCCCTATGCCAGCGGTTCTCAACCTATGGGTCGCGACCCCATTTGGGGTCGAACGACCATTTTACGGGGGTCGCCAAACAATGCGATCCACCATTTTTCCCTCAGGGGGCGGCCCGCGCATGCGCAGCACGCATGGGGGCACTGCCACGCATGGGGCGCTGCCACGCATGAGGGCGCTGCCGCGCATGGGGGCACCACCACGCATGGGCGCTGCGCATGGGGCACACTGCGCATGGGGCGCGCCGCGCATGCGCGGTGCATCCATGTGACCGTGGGTCGCTGTATAAAAAGGTTGAGAACCGCTGCCCTATGCAGCGTTCATGGGTTTGATAGGTATGAGAGGAGAAGAAGGTGTAGAGAGGAAGTAGGATAGTAAGAGGAGAGGGGGAGGGGAAGAGAGTAGGAGGGGAGGAGAGAAAGA